GCCTCAGTGTGAGGAGGCGCACAGAGGATTAGCAGCAGGAGGAGGTGACGATGATGGAGGCCAGCTTTGACACTGAGGAGAGCTTTGACGACCCCTCCTGTCTCGCCCCGCAGCCCCCCGGCTCCGTGTCGCCGGCCAAGAGGCAGATCAAGGAGGTCAAGGAGACCAAGACCACGGTGAGTATCTTGAAACTTCATCCTCTTCTCCTGCTAACCACAGGGTCTTTAATCTGAGAACAGGACGGGGCCCCCAGGGGCCACTGGACCTGTCTGAGGTGTCCAGCTTTTGACTGATGTATCCATCTGTAACTGGATTAATGTCAGATTTAAGATTAGCTCATCCTGCAGAAGCTGCTGGTACCTGGAGCCTCATCTGTCCGTCAGGGGGAGACCTCTGAGATGATGCTGTTCTCCCTCAAACACCTCCTCCTGGGACCGTCCGGGTCCCTCAGGACGTTGGCACCCCAGAGTAATCCAGTCGTATTAAGAGCAGGATCACAGTCTGGATTTATGGAGAACATACAGTAGATTTGGCTGAAGAAGCTCAGATTGTAGCTGGGGGTTGTGTAACCTCAGTCCATAATTTGGGGTGGGGGTGGGGGGGGGGGGGGCTCAGTGGTGAAGGTTTGTGTCTCACCCGGGGGGGGGGGGGGGTGTCGTTGACCTGCTGGAACCATCAGTGTGGTCATCAGTGGGAAATTAAATAAATAAATACAGCAGAAGAGATGCTGCAAGTCCAGTTTCCATGGCGACGATGGCTCAGATTACCGGAGCTGAGAGGGAAAACACCGACAGGAGAGGCGAGAGGAGACACAACGTTTGGAAAAACACAATGAAAACTGTTCTTTCCTGGGGAGACGTAGATCGTCTCGTTGATGGTATCTGGTTCGGTTTCAGGCTCATTTTTACATTTCTTCGCTGCAAAAACAAACGAAACAAACAGCTAAAGAATAAAACCCATCCAACAATTTTAACCTTTTTATTTAAAAAGATCACAACTGAAACATCTGAGTGGTGTAAACAAAACAGATAAATTAAAAAAATTCAACCAATTTTTACACTTTATCTTTAGATGTTAGCTAGCCTTTTCTTACTTTTTGCTTGTAGCTAGCATTTTGCTACTGTTGACTAGCGTTTTTCTATTCTTACCAAAAAATTTACTACATTTAATTACCTTTTGTTACTTTTAGCTAACAGTTAGCTACTTTAGCATTTTCATATTTTTAGCTGGCATTTTTGATACATTTAACTAACATCCTGCTACATTTAGCTGGCCTTAAGCTGCTTTTAGTTAGCCTTTTGTTACTTTTGGATTTTAGATAGCATTTTGCTACTTTTGGTTAGCATTTTGCTACTTTTAGTTAGCATTTTGCTACTTGTAGCTAGGCCTTTGCTACCTTTAGAGCTAGCACTTTTCTCCTTGTGTCTATAATTTTAATACTTGTGCCTAGCCTTCTGCTACTTTTAGCTAGCCTTCTGCTGTTTTTATTTTTGTCTTCTTTTTTTGTGTTTTTGATTTTAGCTGGTTTCTGGCTTCTTTTAGCTTCTATCTGTCTTTTAGCTTCTATATTTTAGCTAATGTTCTGCTTCTTTTAGCTTTAACATTCAGGTTTCAGCTTCTTCTGCCAATTCAAGCAGTCATTTCTCTAACTTCTCAAGTTTGAAATCTGTCTCTTCAAGTAAAAAGTTTTCTAATTTAAAGACAAAAAGCCATTAAAACAATCTTTTAGTAGCTGAAATTAGCAGAGCATGTCTCATGTTCAGCGTATTTCCCTCCTCAGTTCCATTTTATTGTTTAGGTTGCAGCCGTCACTGAAAATTAAAACTAATTCAGACTTTTATTGTTAAAATGTTTAAAGTTAAATAATCTTCACAGATGCTATTTGTTCAAAATCCCTCTTTACAGTGCAGTTGATAATGAGTCCGTCCCCCCACCCAGAGACGTGTTTATGTTCACCGTGCTGCACCTCGTATTTCACCCCCACCTCCATGGTTGCCATGGAGACGCACATGTCCATGACTGATGGGAAAAATGGACCCTTGCAGCAGGATTCTTCACACATCAGAGGAAATGCAGCCTCGTTTTCACCTTCAGGATGTGTGACCTGGTCCAACCCAGTCCAGATCCTGGTTTTTTTTCATCAATCGTTTTGGTGCTCGACTTGTTGCTACGCTGCGCCCCCCCGCCCCCACCCCCACCCCCCAAGCGGGTCGTGGGATTTGTCTGTGAGGAAAAGGGAGAGAGGGAGCGTCATCTTGTTTTGGTTCTGTGGAGGTGAATGTTTGGAGGAAGGGAGGAGGAGGGGGGAGTTGGGGTTACCGCAAAAGTAATTTGTTGCTAAGCAACAGCATCCGACACCCTGATCTGATGAAATGTGCTGCTCGGAAATGGATGTTTGATCGACTCCAGTTGTTTTGTTTTTCTGCCCCCCCGGCCATTTGTTTAGACGTTTCCATAAAAACTTCTTGAATCATCAAAGAAAAAGAGGCAGGAATAAACGAGGGAATGCACGTCGCCCGCCGCCCTTCATGCCAGATGTTCGGCTTGGGCTTCATGTAGCCGTTTTGGGCAAAGCTTGAAAACAGTTTAGTAAAATCTCCTGCAGGACGTCGAGCTCAGAGTGTGATGCTCAGTTACTACCACACCAAACTTTAGCTCAGAGTGTAGCGTTGACCGAGTTGTAGCCATTTTATTGTTTCTTTTTATCTGTGGCCGAACATGACCTGTTTAGTGGTTCATGAGATATTTTGCTAACAAGCATAAAGATATTATCTTCTACCTTTGCCATGTTTGTGGCTGGTGATAAAACGTAGAGCAGGTATAATGAGCTCCATCTGTAATCCACGCGCTCCAGAGGGAGGAGGTGTGGGAACAAAATGTCCCAGCTCGCCCAACAGATCATCAGAAGCTGCGCTCAGCTTCTGGTCTGAGGTTAAATTCAAACCTGAGACCTGGACCTGAACTGCCTCTCCAAGACCTGCCTCGGAGACTGATTTATGACCCGCCGGGCCACAAGGGTAATCTGTATTAATATTTAATCCCAGCCCTGCAGCTCCTCGCTTAGCGGCCATAAAGGAGCAGATTGACCGGACAGGTCTCCTGCTGATGGACCGAGAGCCGGTGGGATAGAGACTCTGGTGCCCCCGACAGCCAGGGCGGTCTCTGAGGCGGGAAATGAGCAGGGCGACCGAACGGGACACGCCGTAAATTAAACATGTCGTTTCTGCATGTCAACGCTGGCTTAATGTCGGAGAGGTCCAAAACTCTGAAACGCTCTGAATGGACATTTACAACTGATTCAAAATGGCCGCCTCGCATGCCACAGTTTTAAACAAAGACGTCACACAACTCGTTAGCCTTCAGGACGCGTGTTGGGGACGACTCGCAGCTACTACCACGCCAAGTTTTAGCTACAGTTCTGCAGCCAGACAGAAAACAAACAAACACTGTTACCTGGTCGACTGCCTTTCATGGCAGCAGGAGCCAAACGTATCATAATTCTGCGTTTCATCTTTCCACCATTAACTGACCTGTGAGTGTTCAATAATCTGTAATCCATCAGATTATTGTGTTTACTGAAGCCTGCGGCGTGCAGCAGGGTGTTGACGTGCTTCCCTTTAATCTCACAGAAGACGAGTTGATACATGTGCGAGTGAAATCAATCACTGAGAGAAGCTGCAGGCCCGATGAGACGTTCACTGACATTACGGTTGTTTTGGCGTGCAGCTTCTGAACCTGTTCCCTGTTTGACGCCCAGTAGCACCACCTCCAGCAGGTCTGGAACCATTATCCAACCTATCCTTTATGTATTCAGATCATATTAGTTTAGTATTAGCTAAATTAGCTAATCCTAATCCTCAACACGTTAGCACAGCATGTTTATTTTGTCACGGTTTTCTCAGCGCAGACAGATGTAGCTAACGTGCCGTTCTCCTACTCCAGAATGTCGATTTTATGAAAAAGTTGATTATTAAAACTGAAAATGTCTTTAATAACTGCTGCTCGACTGGTTAGCCATTAGCCTAGCCATTTTCTGTGCTATTACTATAACTATTAGACAGGATGTCACTGTAAAAATGACAGTTTATCCCTTTGGTGTGTTCATATCGTCCACCTGAACATCGTCTCACAGAGTCGACGCTTGTCGGATTCACCCATATTACAGATTGCAGCCTGAAAGGTCAACAGGTCGAGCTTCAGCTGAGAGCTTTGTTTACATTGAGTGCGTACCCACGTTTCAGCGTATCGCATCAGTGTATGCGAAACTTCTTCAAACGGCACCGCTTGGTCAGAACAAGTTTTAATGGTTGATCTGCAGTGAGCACCTTTCAAATGCCTCTGATGATCCTTTCGGTTCGGCCTGAGAGAGGAGCGAGCAGCTGGGCAGAATCAGCTGGTGGATGTTTGTGGCAGCAGCTCGGTGGCGAAGCGGCGCTGTAAACACCGTGAGTCAGAGTGTTTGTGGGTGAAGCAGCCGGTCTGGAGGCTCACATGCCAGGAAGGAGGGCCCACAAACCCTGAGCGTTATGGCAGAAAATGAAGCAGCGGAGTCTGAATTCACCTGCGGAGACAAACGGTGTGGAGAGTCGAGGGTTTGATCTGACGGATCAGAGAGCGGTCTGAGAGCTGACTCACAGTTCACAGCTGGATTTTACAGTCAAACCTCTTCTGCAGTCCTCGTGCTTCAACCGTTCAGTCATCAAAACATTAATCAGGGGGCGGGGACCATGAGTTTCTTGTAACTGTTAAACTTTTCCAGTTTTATTTACAAATGCTGTCCCTGTAGATTTACACATAAATGTCTTTATCCTCAAAAACTGTTTTGTTTGAAATCTGCTTCAGCTCTTTGTTTAATTTTAATTTTGAAACTCTCCTGCTGGCCTCGCGCCCTCGTGTCTCTCCGACCTTCTCGAGCGCTGAGATCAGCTGATCAGCTGCTTCTGGTTGAAGCTCCGAGGAGACGGAGCTCCTAAACGTTAGACAGGCCGCTGCACTTCCTGTTGATAAATCTCTTTAAAAGCACGTCTGTTCTCAATGACCTTTGACCTTTAAGTGAGTTGTTTTAATGTTTTTTTTGTTCAACACTTTGGTAACAACCTGTGGTTTTTAAATGTGCTTTATAAATAAATTTGACTTTATTTTGTTTTCTTATGCTTCTTTTAACTTTTAGCTACGGTCTTCGTCATGTTAGTTTTTAAGCTATAGTTTTATTGTAGCTTTTAGCTACTTTGTAGTTGATTTTAGCCTTGAGAGTAATTTTGTGGACAGCAAACTCTTTTTGTTGATAATGTACGATATGTTCAATTTATTTTCACTGTATTTTCATTGTGATTTCTGTTTATTTTCTGTGTATTTTCCAGTGTATTTTCTGCGTAACTTCAGTGTATTTTCTATGTTTTCTGTGTATTTTCTGCGTATCTTCAGTGTGTTTTCTGTATGTTTTCTGTGTTTTCAGTGTGTTTTCTGTGTATTTTTCAGTGTATTTTCTGGATATTTTCTGCATATCTTCAGTGTATTTTCTGTGTATTTTTCAGTGTGTTTTCTGTGTATTCTTCAGTGTATTTCCAGTGTATTTTCTGCATATTTTCTGTGTATTTTTCTGTGTGTTTTCTGTGTATTTTCCAGTGTATTTTCTGCATATTTTCAGTGTATTTTCTGTGTATTTTTCAGTGTGTTTTCAATGTATTTCCAGTGTATTTTCTGCATATCTTCAGTGTATTTTCTGTGTATTTTTCAGTGTTTTTTCTGTGTATTTTCAGTGTATCTTCTGTGTCTCCTCAGATCAACTGTGTTACGTTCCCTTTGCCTGGAGAAGGTCCGGAGCAGCAGCTCCTGAAGCCCAACGATTGGAGCTACTGCGATTATTTCTGGGTCAGTTCTCGAAAACCGCAAAGGTTTGAAGTTTTTGGTGTTTTTGTTGTTTTGGATCTCTTTTTGACATTTCTCTTCTAACTTCTTGTGTCAACATTACAACACGTATAGTTCATCCGTTGTGGACTTTATTACTCACTGTCAGATTTTATTGTTGTGTTTTTTAGTAAAAATAGACTTTAAACCTTCTTTATTCATTCAACCTTTATTTCTACAGGCGAGTCTCGTTGCGCCTCGAGGACTCATTTACACGAGAGACCTGATTTTAACAAAGAGTGATGACGACAGTAGACAATCATATAAAGAGCATATAAAATGACAAGTTATTAGAAGAAATTATATAAAAATGAAACAAAAACATTGTAAATAGATGTAAAGTACTAAAAACAGGAAGATTTAGCTGTGATGCATTCATCTCGTGAAGGAGTAAAAATAAAACTGTTTGTAAATTATTTTAGTGATTAGTCATTTAAAGTACATTTGAACTGTTTAATATTTCTTCTGCATGTTTCTAGTCTTTGGGATGAAACCCATGTGAGAACGTGTAATTTTCATCTCACGATGACAATCCCTGCAGACAGCTCCAATTTTAATCCACGTCAAAATGTATTTTTCCACCTTTCGCTCTTTTTTTTGTCAACGCCTCACATGAAGCAGAAAAAAGAAACGTTGATCGAATGTTAACAGGTTTATTGCCTCTCTGGAGGCTGCAGTCATTTTTAATCCCACGTTGAATCAGATTAGTAGTGAAACCTTCTAAGTGGTTCTGAAACCTGAGCGCCTGCTCACATGAGATGTTTGTTTCCCGACCTGCTGCGCGACTCTTTCCTCACAAACAGGAGTCCAGGCTGTCTCTGGTGAAGTTTGACAGAAACACTCGTCCTCCCATCATCGACTGACGCACCGACGCCTGGCCTCCATGACTGAATGAGTCATGTGATCATCCAGTTGAGCCCTGCAGGGTTTTATAAACTGAGAGGTGTCTCTGTCCTCATCCCCAGGCTGACAAGAAGGACCCACAGGGGACCACCCATGTGACGGGCTTCGAGGTTCTTCTGCAGAAGCAGCTGAAGGGGAAGCAGCTGCAGAAAGAGATGGCTGAGTTTATCCACGAGAGGTAACAGCTGTGAACACTGCTCATCGTCAGCAGTTTCATTCATGAGCAGGCTGAAGAGTCAGGACTGCTCAGGAGGAACAAATGTCTCCTCTGCAGGGGGGGGGGGCAGGCTCATACCATCTTAAATCAGTTACCTCCTCTGTTCCAGGAGAAGCTCGATCGTTCTCTGTTGTTGTCCAGCTGCTGTTTGCATAATTAGCTCTGAGCCAAACAGCTGCAGTGCTGCTGAAAGCACTGAAGCTGCTGATGCTCCTTCATCACGCCTTTGATTTAAATTAATACATGAATGAGGGTTTTAAAGGATCAATAAACACAATTAAATACAGCTGAAGCTGACAAGACTGCTTCACCGTTAGCCTCGAAGACAAAATAATAAAGTCCAGTTCAGGAAAAAGAGCAGCAGCAGAAAGTTAGTTAAACATCCAGAACATTTTTACTATCAACGATTCTTACTATTTATTGACCCATGTTGATGAGTCGGCACAGAATGAGGGGATCTCCACAATGTCTCCAAAGTGTCTCCAAGATGTCTCAAAAATGTCTCCAGAATGTCTCCAAAATGTTTCCATAATTTTTCCATAATTTTTCAGAAATTTCCCCCAAATGTCTCCAGAAACTTTCCAGAATGTCTCCAAAATGTTTCCAAAATTTCCCCAAAATGTTTCCATAATTTTTCAGAAGTTTCCCCAAAATGTCTCCAGAAACTTTCCAGAATGTCTCCAGAATGTCTCCTATGTTTCCAGAATGTCTCCAAAATGTTTCCATAATTTTTCAGAAGTTTCCCCAAAATGTCTCCAGAAACTTTCCAGAATGTCTCCAGAATGTCTCCTATGTTTCCAGAATGTCTCCAAAATGTTTCCAAAATTTCCCCAAAATGTTTCCATAATTTTTCAGAAGTTTCCCCAAAATGTCTCCAGAAACTTTCCAGAATGTCTCCAGAATGTCTCCCATGTTTCCAGAATGTCTCCAAAATGTTTCCTAAATGTTTCCAAAATGTCTCCAAAATATTTCCAAAATTTCCCCAAAATGTTTCCATAATTTTTCCAGAATGGCTCCAAAATGGCTCTAGCATGTCTCTCCCATGAGGCTCAGCAGCATTAAATTCAATTCAGTTTATTTCTGTAGCTCTAAGTCCCAACGGATCTTGTTTCAGGGCACTGAACAGAAATATTCACAAAAAAAAAACAATTAGTAAAAGTTCTGTATCTAAGGAAGCAGCAGGTTGTGTAGAATCTTCACATTGTCACAGTCTTCCATCCTGAGCAAGCACAAAGGAGATAGTGGAAAGGAAAAACTCCCTCATTCAGCCCCGTTGCTTCAGTTTTCAATGTCTAAAAAATGTTCAAACAACTTTTGTTCCAGAGCAGAGTGGATGTCATCCACTCTTCCAGGGTTGGAGCGGTAGTTGGACACCTGTGACCTTGGAGCTCCCTTCTGACAGGAAACAGTTTTATTTCTACCTGTTCAAATTGTAAAAGTGTTTGTGTGATGAATCTGTCTCTAGGCTTAACCAGAAAAACATGCAAAGACATTTGCTTCTGTATTCGCTTCAAAATGTCCCAAAATGAGCTGATCTCATTGTGTTACTAAAGTGCACGGACAAGAATACAGCTTTACAAAAACAGGCCGACATTTTCAAAGGTGTCCCATTCAAAATGTAGACGATGGTCCCATGGTCTCAAGCACAGAGTTCAGTGAGACTGCAGCTACAAGTTCGCAGATGTTTTTACAATTTTCAGGGCTTTTAACACCTTTGCAGCTCCTGGCAGCTCAAGAAGAGACACCTCTAAAAGCTAATTTGTCACTGGGCTGCATCTGCTGACGGCCAACAGAGACACAGAGCTCCAAGAAAATCAGCTAAATCTCACTGAATAGGTATTTCTGGCGCGTTCAGTGCATTCGTAACTTCAGCAATGAATTCTGACAAATTCCAGTAAGACATTTAAATTTGATGCAGTTTAGTCCAAAAATGTCTCAGTTTGGTTGTAAGATTTTTTTTTTCTGTCTCCAGGGTGTCTTATTTTGGTTTTACTGCTGCTCACAGTCACCTCTCGTCTAAGTCTAGCTTCCACAACTCTCTCCCAGATCTTCATTGTGTGGCTCATCACCTTAATTCCCCTGTAGTTGCTACAACTCTGTACATCACCCTTGTTCTTAAAAATGGCCACCAGCACACTTCTCCATTCCTCAGGCATTTTCTCACCCTCAAATATGCCATTTAATATCTGAGTCAAAAACCTCACTGCCATCTCTCCAAGACATTTCCAAACCTCCACTGGTATGTCATCAGGTCCTACTGCCTTCCCCTTCTTCATTCTTTTCAGATCTTTCTGGACTTCACCCTAACTAATCTTTCCCACTTCCTGGTCCACAGTTTCTATGACATCTACTCTTCTTTCTCTTCCATTCTCTTCATTCATTAGCTCCACAAAGTACCCCTTCCATCTTCCCGGCACACTCTCCTCACTTGTTAGAACATTACCATTCCTATGTTTAACAAGCCTAACCTGCTGCACATCCTTTCCAGCCTGATCCCTCTGTCTTGTCCTTCTCGCCCTCATTAGTGTCCAGCCTCCCATACAACTCATCATACGTCTTCTGCTTTGTCTTAGCTACCTCATCTCTTTATATTCCTGTCTCCTCTCTTCAGTCTTCTCACTGTCATATTTCTTCTTGGCTAACCTCTTTTTTTGAATAGCTTCCTGCACTTCACTATTCCACCACCCCATTTCTTTATCATCCATTATCTGTCCAGATGACACACCAAGTACCTTCCTACCTGTTTCTCTAATTACTGTTGCTGTAGTAGCCCCGTCATTTGGAAGCTCTTTCTTACCACCCAGAGCCTTTAACAGCTCCTCTCTGAATTTCTCACAACATTCTTCCTTCTTCATCTTCCACCATTTGGTCTTTTTCTCTGATTTTACTCTTTTTCTCTTCTTCACAACAACAGTCATTCTACATATAACCATCTGATGCTGTCTGGCTACACTCTCCCCTGCCACAACCTTACAGTCTCCAATCTCCCTCAGGTTTCCTCTTCTACACAGAATGTAGTTGACCTGTGTACTCCTTCCTCCACTCTTATAGGTCACTTTATGTTCCACCCTCTTTTGGAAACAAGTGTTGACTACAGCCATTTCCATTCTCTTGGTAAAATCAGCCACTATCTGTCCTTCCTGGTTTCTTTCATTGACAGCAAACCTACCCATCACTTCCTCATCCCCTCTGTTTTCTTCACCAACATGTCCTTTCAGGTCTGCTCTGATCACCACTCTCTCCTCCCTGGGAATACTCTCTATCACTTCATCCAGATCCTTCCAAAATGTATCTTTCTCCTCCACATCACATCCAACCTGTGGAGCATAATTACTGACAACATTTAGCATCAGACCTGTTACTTCTACCTTCAGACACATCACCCTATCTGACACTCTTTTCACCTCTACTACATTCTTTGCCAACTCCTCCTTCAGGACCACTCCTACTTCATTTCTCTTTCTATCCACACCATGGTAAAACAGTTTGAACCCTGCTCCAATGCTGCGAGCCTTGCTGCCCTTCCACTTGGTCTCTTGGACATATAAAACATCTACCTTCCTTCTCTGCATCATGTCAGCCAGCTCTCTACCTTTGCCTGTCATTGTCCCCACATTTAAAGTTGCAACTCTGTCATACATTCTTCACTTTCCTCTTCTCCCTCTGTCTCCTGACACTTTTCCCTCCTCATGGTCTTCAACTAACAGCAGCACATTTTCTGCCGGCACCCTGTTTGTCAACAGCACCAGTGGTGGTCGTTGTTAACGTGGGCCTCGACCGATCTGGTATGGTTTCACTTTGATGAACTCACATTATAGTTTTGGGAGAAGTGTTTTACGTCGGATACCCTTCCTGACACAACCCTCACCATTTACCTGAGCTTGGGACCGGAACCAGAGATGCACTGGCTGGCGCTCCTTCTTGGCTGGTTTAAAAATCATCTGCAATGACTCTGAGAATTTGTCACATTCATTTTTCAAACTCGCTCAAAGGCGTTGGGAATCGTAAAAAAACTAAGAACCCATTCAGGAATGTTTCAAGATGTTTGGAAAATCCCTCAGAAATACCGTTCACCACGGTTGTTTTTAAGACTGAGTAGGAACCCTGTGGGTTTGAGATGCTGATGAAGAACTTCTACTGAAACATGGCTGACCTTTCCTCTGTTTCACCCGCGAGAGTCAGGACATTAAGTCCTTCTGTAGGCGACAGATGTATTCAGGTGTGGAGGAAAAGTAAAGGTCACAAACATGGCGTCCCTCGGGGTGTGTGTGAGCTCATCCCTGAAATGGAGGCCAGCTGCTCTCTGGAGAACATTTTTGCTGCAGGATTCTCATCTGCAAACTTTCTGGTTTAAGCCTTTGTTGCATCGTCTTAGTGCAACAGTCTGTGTCCTCCTGGAGCCGAGCGCTGACGGCTTCACTTGTCTCTTCCAGGATAAAGATTGAGGAGGAATATGCCAAAAACCTGTCCAAACTGTCCCTGAGCCCGCTGGCAGCGCAGGAGGAGGGGTGAGTGGCAGCACCCACCGCAGCTCAGGCCTTTTTCAAACACGCCTCCGGTTCACAGACTCAAAACGTTTTTGTGGATTTTAGAGATAAATGTTGAAGAAAACACAAACTGATTTAACGTTTCTGTGAATTCAACCCAACGTTAAAGCTTCTGCAGAAAGGTGGAGCAGATGATGGTCCGAGGGCCAGAAGTGGTCCTTAAGTATTAAGAAGTAATTAAACTATATATGTGCAATACGTTGCTCAGATGTAAAAGAATAAAACATTTTGACTTGATGTTTTAAATGATTAAAGACAGTCAATAATGTAATTAATTGCATAAGTGTATGCTTTTGACTGTTAGTAAAATATCTCATGAATCAGTGCACAGATTTTATTGAAGCGTTCAGGAAATAACCCCAGGATGTTCTAATCCAATTCAAGATGGCCGCCACAGCCACTCCATGTTAGCAAACACAGACGTAGTCAAATTTACAGAAACTGATCTAAAATTTGGTGTGATTCTTTTGAGAAATGTTAAAAGTAGTTTTTTTGGTATTCTTGTTAAATTGTATTTTTCAGTTTGGGATTTATTTTGACGCTAAATTAAATGTAGTGCGTCTGCCCTGAAAACAAAACAGAAACCAGTTTGTTTTTGTTGCCAGGACTCTTGGAGAAGCCTGGACTCAGCTGAAGAAGAGCCTCCACGATGAAGCCGAAGTTCACCTCAAGTTCTCCAACAAGGTTATTTCCGTTCATGGCGTCTGTTTCTTTAGACCAAACTGTTTGTTTTGTTGTGTTGTCACCAGAGCTGGTTAAAGTTATTAAAGCTCCAGAAACATCAACATCATCCTGAATTATTTCTGATGTGCAGCTTGAACGAGTCTGCTCGGGCAGTTTCCAGAGATGTTGATGTTTAGTTCTGACCAGGTGAGACCCAGAGAGACCAGGTGAGACCAGGTGAGACCAGGTGAGACCAGGTTAGACCAGGTGAGACCAGGTTAGACCAGGTTCCAGGTTAGACCAGGTG